ATTTTTGGTATGTGAGCTTCAGGCACCACTCTACACGTGCCCTGTGAATTTCATATTCATAACTATTACGGTCTCCGCACAGTGATTTACCATGCCACCAGAGGCAGAAGTGGGCAGAAGTGGGCGGGGGCCTATATGTGGAGATTCAGCTCCATTCACCGAACGCGGGGGATATAAGGTTTTTGAATGTGCGACAAACTATGCAGAAGTTATTAGCAGTTTTTATTATAGTAGCACCACCTATTGGCCAACCCGAAAGCGACGCATAGAATATCCAATTTTCACCAGGCCTGACCACTTTGCCAAATAAAATTGACTTTTCGTATATGTTCAGGGGGGCAAAAACGCAGTCGAAGGGGGCTAAAAATAATAGGTAATAAAAGTCATTCTAGCAAATCGGTCCCTAATGAATTTCCAGCACCCTTAATCCCTACATACTTAAAACACAATACTACTCAACAGGTATGTATTCTTTATGTGTGCTGACAACTGCACCATAGCATTTAAGTACTACTATTATTCATTACACTTCTGTCTGTCATATACTGTAGCATAGACTTACTTCTATCTCTATATATTGTCATTGGAGCTTCCATAGTTGGTCAAGCCCAGGCGATTCCCATGGAACTTACTTATACATACTTAAAACAAAATACTACTTAACAGATATATATTATCTATGTGTGCTGACAATTGCACCATAGCTTTACAGTTTTATACCATAGGTGTGTTTATGCAATGTTCAATATTTGTGAACACAAATACACAGACAACTAAGTCATAATGGCTTTGGGCACTGAGTCAAACCAAGAAAACCCCTAAATGTAGTAAAAGCCCAACTACTCTCAATCAAAAGCTTTTCCAGAACTCAGTGTATCTAACTGAATATAGTATCCATAGTGATGACGACATTGTGATACAAAGCTATAAAGTTTCTCTCAGAAGGCTCCACAGAGCTTAGCTCACATTTGTCTTGGTACCTGTGAGCCATGATGCCATTTCAATACTCAGAAGGTTTGGTAAACTGAGGGATCTTATGGTCTTTAATCTATTTATCTGTTTATGCTTATGTGTGTACAATATTATAGCTGTGTGTTTGGTCTGGTCAAAAGTTAGAAGGTTTCTGAATTTGAAGAATAACTTAACTTAAGGTTATTTTTACAGACAGTTTAGATAATGATACATGATTTCTTGATTTTGACTTTGTCTTCAGTGCCAAATCCTTCAGTATTTATTCACAACGTTGAAATATATGGCTGATAATAACTCAGTGGCTGGTGGTCAATCCTTAGTGCGAAAGATCAATTATCAGGTCATTATAGTTCAGGTTTTGGTGGCAGTTTTCCTTTGCATCAACTTTATGTTGATCATAACCTTTTCTATGAAGGATTTTTTCTACAGAACCATGCGCTACATCTTATTTGCTAATACTCTAGTGTCTGACTGTCTGCTTTTAATTGTGACAGACTTCACGCTCATCCTGAGCTATTTTCGTGTTACTATACAGATGCAGTTTTGTCTTGTTATATTTATATGGTCATCTGTGTACAATTTTGTCACACCAGTTACTTTGACTACAATGACTCTGGAGCGCTACGTGGCTATTTGCATGCCCCTGCGCCACTCAGAGCTGTGCTCCTCACGCAGTGCTCTTCCCACTCTTCTCATCATTCAGGGCCTTAGCTTTGTACCCTGCTTTCTTATTCTGTCCACCTTCTTTGCATTAGCCCCCCTTAGTTTATACAAAGAACACAAGGTCTGCTCTGTTGAGATGCTCCTTTTGCACAGTTGGCAGGGTCATTTTAGGTCAGCTATAAGTCAGGTTTACTTCTTGATCATGTTTATTGCTATTGTATTCTCTTATGTTAAAATAATGAAAGTGGCCAAAGCTGCATCAGGAGAATAAAAAAGTCCAACATGGAAAGGGGGCTGAAACAGTAATTCTTCATGCTTTCCAGCTGCTCCTCTGTCTCAATCCAGCCTGGTGTCCATTTATAGAAGGTGCTGTACTTCAGGTTAATTTCTTTGTTATTTGTTAATGTCAGGTACTTTAACTACATAATGTTTAGTCTTGCTCCAAGATGCCTCAGCCTTATTTATGGCCTCAGGGATGAGAAGTTTTTTCTTGCTCTGAAGTACTATACTCTCTGTGGCTATGCCAAGAATAAATCTTTAGATTTGACACATTAATACTATAATAATCTGCCACAGAAATGACCATTTATTGCATACAGTTGTACCTTATTTGTTGAAATGCTTTCATTTAATT